GGGTTAGCATTGCCGCCACGGTCCAAAAACACTAGCGGTGGGTCACTGTCGTCCGATTTTAGATAACAACCATAACAATTTGCAAAAGTCAGTTTCGTTAGAATGTGGTATGTGTCGATATATCAAGAACGTATTGTGGTATTCGAGTGCTCCAACAATATTACTATATTATACTGTAAGGACGTAATTTTTTACAAATTTCCGCGCTACATTAACTTTTAACTTGAATATATAATTACAATAAATAAAGAAATATATTTAAATAATAATATTAATAATATATGTATAATATGTTAATTACATAGTTTGTTTACTACTTATATATTTCCTTTATTTAGTAGTTAATATTAATTTTTATTAAAAACAGAAAATATAAATATTAAAAATCACCACCTTTCATTCATGAATTGAATGAACCAGTTTTTCAACGTAGCAGCACCCACACCCACACGCACATCCAGCACAAAACAAGCCAAGCTCACGGCAGAGCCGTGTAATTAATTAATTGTGTACGCATGAAGAATTACACTTGTGCGGTTGTGCGTACAACTAATAAAGTGAGGGTGATTTCATATAAATGGACGACAATTTTATATGAAAGATCACTTAGCGGCAGTTCACCGAAGTGAGTAGACACCTACATCATCGCTTAGTCGCCAGGGAAATTTCACGCCAGTAGTATTCTGATACTATAGGCTAGATAAATTTGTAGACTTGTAGTTTTTAACGCCGCACGGCATTTTAATACCATTGGCTACAACCTATTGTAACCACTTAGAATTATAATAACATAGACTAACGGACCTATTCTGTGTACTTGACAGATTTGTCAAATTTTTTAATAAAATTTTTGATTTTTATAAAGCAGAAAGCTTTTTGATATTCTGGACACATCTTGACAAATTTCAAAGCTCAAGTACCTAATGCTTTTCACCACACTATGGTGTAAATTTTTTTGTATAGAAAACTGTTCGTAATTGTTCGTAACTGTTCGTAAAAAATGCTTGTAAAGAGCACATATTTTAAGATGCCAAAAGCATTTTCATGCAGTCAAAAAACAATAAAAAATATGCTTTTAAAGAGCGTATATTTTAGGTAAGAATAGGTATTTGTCATGCTTGCAAAAAATAAAAAATGCTTAAAAAGAGCATATTTTTATAGTTGTCAACAGCATTTGTAGTATTGACAATTATCAAGGAAAAGTTCTTTTTATTTATGTCACAGAATACCAAAACCTTTACAGCAGTCAATTTTGACAAGTGTCAACGTTTAACAAGTTTATAAAGTGCACAGAATAGGTCCGTAAAATTATTTTTTTACCTAATATTATCAATTTAATGATAAAGACATTCATTTTGAACTAAAATACACAATGTCTTTACTTTCTCCTTGGTCTTTTACTAGTCTTCGAACTAGTCAATAAAAGAAATTTACTGAGTGACACCTCAGCAAAATTAAACGACGAGCCCGTGTCGTTACTATACTATATCACAATATATATCAATATCAAAAGAATAAACTCAATAAACTAGTTGGAACATTACCATTGTTTAAAGTCTGTTCAGCAAACTCTGCAGTTATAAAAAAAGAAACAGTTGACTAGATCAACATTTCGAATGGTTTGAATTTTACAATATTGGTTTCTCTGAAAGCGTTATACATCATCATATACTGGTTTATGATTTAACACAAGATGGTTCTTCTTAAATGGTCGAATTATCTTAATGTTTAAAAAACAAAAAAAAAAACACTAAATTATTTCCCATTTCGCGTTTTACTGTGTATATAAAAAATCAGTCTCAAAGAGTAACTGTAGATAGGTGATTTAGTATTGTGGTTAATATGACTCTAAAGCTATGACTCTAAAGCAACCTGCATCTTTACCTTTACCTTTACTAAAAATTTTATACGATCATCTTCTAGCTGTTCAACCTGTTATTTATATAGCACCATTCTGGAATATATGGGATATATTCAGTAACCATCTTACTTACATTATATTAAAATATTAAAAACTTTTTAAATTATTTAGTTTTGTGTATCAAATTCCTCATTTTCTGCATTCATTTGCTTACGTGCTCATTACTCATCATCATTTCCTTAGTTTAATTAAAAAGTTATGCGGTTCTATCGCTGAAGAGTTAGGGTTTGATATGTTAGAAGTTTTGCCTCAACTATTTCTTATCTTGCTTTGTAATAGTGTCTTATGAACGGCATTCTATTAGCACAATTTAAATAATTTCAGTTTCAAATGCAAGCACACGCGTTCCGCAAATCCAATTCATGACAAAAGTAAAGAGCAGAGCAGAGCTTTGCTTTGCTTAGCGCTGCAACAATGCAACATGGCAATGTTGAAGAGGAAACACTTGAAAGACTTTCATTCAGATACAATGCAACAATGAAATTATAATAAAAATAAAATAAAAAAGATGAAAAGATAAAAAGATAAAAAGATGGAAGCATACGAGTACAGCAAAAATAAAAATGAATTTACCGTGAAGTGAAATTTGTACAAATGCTGAAAATCAGTCACAAGTGCGTCAAGGAGTTCTGTGGAGCCTTGTGAATCCTGTGAAGCCTAACGAATGGGTGTATGCTGTTTCCATAGACGATGTGGAAGACGATATGGAAGTCGTGTGCATATATGCCATGAGTGTGCTTTATGTGGTTGCCAGTGCCCTCGTGATTGTGCAGACAAAAACCAAAATTTTAAAATTATTTACATTCTCTGCTTTAATTGCATGAAAATCCGAATAATTAAGATAGAAAAAGTAGAAGAAGGAGTATTATGGTGCAGTGGCACAGTTTTGGGCAATAAATGAAAAAAAAGAAGAATGAATGAAGACTACAAATGTATGAGAGATGAGTAAAGCTTACAAGTAAAGTAGTTCAAGTAGAGCTCAGCTCAAAGAAATTATGGCCAAATAAAAACAAAGAGAAATTTCGTTAAGTTTTTGAACTACAATTAGCAAAAAAAAGTAACTTTATAACTTCGTTCTTTCAGAAATCAGTGCAATATATAAATATATGAAAAAATTATATAAACTTAACTTGAATAATCGCTACTTAAATAAAGTGTGGACGTAGCAAACAAGAAGAGATTAATATAACATTTTAAAAACTATTGAAAGACCATTTAAAGACGAACTAGAAACGGTGTTGTTAATAATATCATAAGCTTCAAGTATTTAATTAGATTGGGAGGATATATGCTAACATTAATATTAACACTTCCATTCGAAGACATGTATTTTCCATTTTGATGCCTTCCTATTGTGGTATCGTTGATGAGTTACCTCTTTTTTTAAATGAAAAAATATTACGAATTCATAATTTGACAGAATCTTTAATGTAACTAGCGTACTGAATATATTTTATATAACCACAACTTAAATAACTTAAAGCGGAAAATTATATATGATGGCCATGCCTAAGTAAACAGTCATAGTTCGATTGCTTGCACTCAATTCCAACTTTTATGGTATCTCCTCATATCTTTTGTATAACATGAATAACCTTGACAAAGATATTGAAACCAATCCGTGGATTTTAATGAGAAAATAAGTTAAGATCGATTTATGTTAAACAAGTTATGTTAAGAAAAGGACTTATGTTATAATAGCATTAAAACTTTTAAAGAATTGTATGTAAGCCGGAACAGTTTTGAGTAAAATCCGTTGAAATCAGTTGAAAATTGCTGTACATCTAAAAATATCTATCTTTCTCTTAAGCAAGAATTCTTACTTTTGATATTCTACTTGATCAGCTTAAGTCAAATTACATTTAAAATAGGGAAACGCAATAAAACAATAATATAATCAGCACATTATCTGCTCTCCATATATAAAATTTTTTAGCATCTAACATAAATATATGGCTATGCAGATAACATAGTCATAACAAGCAGAGGAAAATTTGAAAATACTCTATGCGACAGAATCCAATATGGACTAGAAATCAGAAGAAACTGAGTATAAACCCAGCTAAAACTACAGTTGTCACCTTCACAAAAAAATAAAAACTCAAACATCTGAAACTTATCAGAACCGATGGAATTGAGGTAGAAATAAAAAAAATGGTCAAGTTTTTGGGCATATATCTCGACCAGAAACTTAAGTGGAAGCACCATATTCAGAAGATCACGAAGAAAGCCACTTAGCTCTTATGACGTGTAGATTCATAGCAGGCAAAAGTACGGGATGTACACCAAAAATACTGCGATGGGTTTACTCGGCGGTCATCAGACTCATCATTTTATATGGGGCACTTATCTGGAAAAATGAAACCAGACAACAGAATATCATTTACGCACTGAACAGGCTACAAAAACTGGCGTGCGTATATATAACGGGTGCCATGCGGACTTGTCCAACAGCATCCATGAAGGTCCTTCTAGTACTCGCACCCTTGCCGATATACATCAGGTCCGAAGTGGAAAGGTCAGTTCTATGAATGTAGAAAGGGAATATAATGGATAGCTGACTCAATAGAAAGAAGTTCGAAAATCTGGCCAAGCAGCACTTGGAATTTTCAATGCCATGCCAAGAGAATGAGGAGTCGACCACACATGTGATGTTAGAATGCCCTGCGCTAAAGCACATTCGAAATAGGCTCTTGGGAATGTATATTCTTACGTATGCAATAAAAGGCAATAAAATTATGTAAAGTAGGTACTATACTACTTTTTATTGATGCAACAGAGTTTAGAGAAGGGGGCACAATAGACCCGGCGGTCGCAGTGCCTCTTTCCCCAAACAATAATAAACAAAAAAACATAAATATAGGTCTAATTACAGAAATTTTAAATTTAAACAGTTACTATCCGTAGTTATTCACACTTAAACACATACACAAATATTTATTTTTTCTTTTAGAGATCCATTATCCTTGGGCAAATTAACTTTTAAATTGATATAAAGTATTTTCACACTTTATATAAAAGCAATTTATTATACATTTTTATAAATATGATAAATCAACAAATGTTTTGTTTTTTGCAGATACGACAGTCCTTTAAAAGCACGTCAGGAAAAAACAGCAACTTTTTAAAAATGCAGCAACTGCCAAACTAAACAACGTAAATATGTCAGAAACTGTTATTTGCCATAACTTTACAACAAAGTTAACGCACAATAGTTGCCAATTTTGATAAATGATTCAACTTATTTTTAAAAAATACAATAAAAACTAGAAAATATAAACTAAAACACTTTTTATAAGTAACGTAACGCCAATGAACTACATCAACAAATGCTCAAAATGAAGAGCTCCGCATAGATAGTTTGACTGCAGTTGAAAAATTGTGCTGAGCTTGTGCAAAAAGTGGTAGAAAAAACTTCACAAGTGCAATTTTTGACGCGTTGCAGTCAAACAAGTTTGAAGCTCTTAAAGAAAAATCTAATTGATTAAAAAATATCGACTAACAAATTTATTAGGTTGGTAACATTACAACAATGCAGAGGAATTGCAACTATCCGAAAGCCGTAACACATACACAAGCAGCGCTGCCAACAAAAGCAACAACGGTGTCTAACAGAGTACAGAATTGTCGCCGTGTGAATTTGCTGTTATTTACAGAATTGTATCACATAACTCTGTTATGCTATCTTATGTTAGTTCCAGTACTGACTACAACATTTGTCAGTGCTTCAACGTTGGATATATACAAAAATGCACGTCTAGGTCACCGCATTGTACAGACACGATATGGGCGTTTACATGGACTGATATTGCCGTTAGACAATTTTAGGTTTTTGCGGTCGGTTGAAGTGTTTCTTGGTGTGCCATACGCAACACCGCCCACAAAGCAAAACCGGTAAGTATTAACTAAAAAAGCTCAGAAAAATAGATTTTTACTTTACAATATTAATTTTTTTTTACAACACATTAATCATTAAAAGGATTAAAAGGATCATCAAATAAACGCTTTCGAATGAACAAATCTTTATTCCTCGGTTTATTTTTCATTAAGAAGAAATAATCAAAATCCAGCATTTGGATCTTCCATCATCTTCCATACTGACTGTTAGTGACTGTTAGTGTTAGTGTTAGTGAAACATGGATAATAATATCAAATTTCACTACTTTTAAATAAACGTGTTAATCATATAAATAATAAGTTTGAAGAAATATAATTTTTTTTTTTTATTATATAAACACAATCTGTACAAGAACATTCAGTTCGTAATATAAAATATATGTTCTTAATATAAAATAGAATAAGATGATATGAAAACATGTGCGGGACACTCAGTAGTGTACACCGCTAGAGATTAAATTACAATTAATGATTACAATGATTACAATTACTAATTTAATGAGCAAATAGTTGGCTATAAATGTTTAATTTTAGTGAGTTTATAATTACGATTCACGTATTTGGGGTTCGACTTGGCAAGTCCGACGTAGAAAATCTTCTTAGTTTATAATTACGATTCACGTATTTGGGGTTCGACTTGGCAAGTCCGACGTAGAAAATCTTCTTTCACTATAGACAAATTTTATAACGGCATTGTTTTTTCAATCTGATTCATATATGATTTGGCCAAATAAATTTTCTGTATTCATTGCAATGAATCAATGAATGAAAGATAACCGAATTACTTTCAAACCACATTTTTACGTAATTATTATTAGTGAACTTTTAAAACTTAAGCAATTCTAATTCTCTTCAGGGCATTGGAAGAGATACTATGCAATGGTTTATGACCTAACTACATAAGCTTGAGAATTTAGATAAGATTCATATCTGTTTTAAGAAAACTAAATTCAAGATTCTATTATATTCTGCTAGAAATAAATTTTAAGTAGTTCAACTTATGCCTAATATTTTTCAGTAATGTGGTTGGGTGATCCAAGAGATATGCAATATAGGCAATATTTGCCAATTAAAAATGTAACTTAAATTACATCTTTGCACTCAAATATAATGAAAGTCAGAGATATAGACCATGTGCGATTTCGAGTAAATTGAGGTTCACTTATGTAAATATTTATTTATTTATTTATTACACTTACTTATTATTTTTGGTTAAGAGTTTTCAAATTTATTTATTTATTTAATTAAAATCTATTAAACAAAATTTATTACATTTATTAAACAAACTTATCTAATTTAGTATACTCGAAACTATGATAAATACCAACGTTCCTGCCGTACCGACATAATTTACAATTTCCCTCAATTTACCATCAATTGACTTGAAGTCGCACACGCCAATAGTAAACATGCAATACAATATATTAGTATCATTTTTTAGAGAAAAATGGATATTTTATTCTTTTAATTTTCTGCATGTTGGTCTTGATGTGTGATTAAAAATAATCGTTTTGATAAATTATCATTTTGAGTTTTAAAACTAAATTTTTTTTTGACTTTATTAACCAAAGTGTCATTTTGATTCGCTTTTAGTTTGTATTGCTCTATCCAACACTGAAATCGACATTCATTAATACATGAATTCCACTTAAAGACAACATTAAAAGTTTACTCATTACATTATAGTTTTATAAAGAAAAAGTTTGCCAATTAAACACATGCTAATGCAATTTCATTGGCCAAACATTAACATTTGCACTAAAATTGATGCATCCAATTTGAAGTTTTCCAAAAGTAACATAAACTTTTAACGATCACAATAAATCAACAATTCAAAAATTAAATAAAAATAAATTGCTTTTTGATGTTTCCCAAAACTGACTAGCTAAAGTCCTGTATTTCAATCTTTGATGTGACATGATTGGTATGATTGGTGTGATGGCAAAGGCAATTGCCGTAATAAGGACGACGTTATTTAGTAAATGGTACGGCTCAGCGTATGATCAATAAAATTACTTTCATAGTTTTTATTCGTCCACATGATGAGCGTCGTTGAGCATCATTCATTCTCAAAATATTGTGCAAAGTTATAAAATTTTGAATAAAATGCGCCTTCAGCAACTGCAAATATTTAAAAATAATTTTATACGCCTCATCTGCTGTCAGTGTCGTAAAACATAATTACAGATTCGGTTTTATGGGACCATAAACAAAGTAGAGCAATGGAACTTCTCAATGGAGATGGAGAAGTGGGTGGTGTTCATGTTGCTGTTGACCAAGAGAATTTAAATTTTGTTGGCTTAAAGTGCGTGAGACTGAAACAAAAGGCAACTATTACCTTTGGTGAAATAATAATAATAATGATTTATTTGCACCATTAACAGTTGTGCCACTTATCCTTATGTCCATAAGGTAAGATGCATAAATTAAGAACGTAGCTAAAGGAGTAACCAATAGCAACTAGTCACATACAAATTCAGCAATTTTTCTCACTTTTACCTAAATTTACCTTTCTCAGACAGCAAAAACGCAATCAAAATAATTTGAAATCGTATCTCATAAATTGATTTCGAAAGAAAAGTTATAACCGCCTTTTGGCCATAAAATGAATTTGGTATACTAATTTGTTCGGTATTTGTTGTCAAGGCGACTTCTATTTCCTTGTTGTTGCTGTTACTGTCGCTGTTGCTTCATTTAAGTTGCGTCAACAAACAACAACAGCTGTTCTTAAGCACTTTTTTGTTGCTTCATCATTAAATTAAAAAGTAAAAAAAATAAATTCATTTCAAAATTTCAACAAAATACACAAACATTCCACACAATTACGCTATCAGAGCGAACTCAAAAACAATATAAAATACATAAAAACTCCTTTAAAGGACGAAAATTTCCAAAAATGAGCTGCGCAACTACACGACGATGTCGTGTTTTTGTTGCATGTGCACGTACTTCAAAATGTCATTTAATTTTGATTAAATAACTAAATTATTTTATAGTTTTTTTAATAAAGTTGGCAACATTTGCCGAATTGCTGGGTTGGAGCATTTGTTTTGACAATAACTTATTAAATGCATAGAAGAAACTGGTAGTAATTGCCAATATCCTTCAAACTTAGAGGCTCCTATAGTTTTAATAACATTCGCATTAAGTATTTATTTGAAAAAAATATATATATTTTTAATATAATTTTTATACAATATTTATATTGGATCTATAATTTGAATATAGATACACACACATACACGTCAATGATAGATATGACAAATTTCCATGGCTCTGCAGTAGCTCTGCAGATAGAGTAGGGTCCAAAGATTCTAAAATCATATTTAATTTATTTTTTTGAAAACATTTAGTCATTTATTTAAAAAATCGTATTAAATTACTTCTCTACATTTGAGTAGAGTTTATTTATTATATCCACAAATTAAATTTTTACAAAAATATAATTAAAAAAATAATAAAAAAGAAAATATTTTCAATTAAAAGAATCGATAAAATTATGTATACATTATGTATACGTATGTATACATTGGTTAACCACATATTTATAGGTATAAAATCTTAAATAAATCGAATGTTATAGGTTCAGATATATTCATATTTGATATTATATTGGATAATACAGGCTTCTTATAAAAGTTATTTCAGCTCATAACGGTGTAATACTGGGATCTATTGTAGTATAGAGTTATCTTTCTACTTTTTAAGCTAGTTATATATTGAAAATATTATGGAGAATGGATGAATGAATTTTCAGAACTATCCTACTAAGATATACTAAAAGACTAAATACTAAAATATATTCCATACCTTTAGCTTAAAATAAAAATTCTTTACAGTAATAATAATTGACAGTACAAAGATATGTTTTGTATATTTGGCATTCCTTATGTTGTATACTACAAAATATTAAAAGACCAATAAGTACCGAAAATGCAACTATAATAATATAATTAATAACAATGCAGTTTGCAACTATTAAGAGCATGAACTAATAACTGAAAACTGTCACATCAGGCAGATTATGTTTTAATAAAGAAAATCCCTGACAAATAGAATGTAGAATATGTGTAGAATATTTTAAATAAAAGCAATTATGATCAAATTAAGAAATCACGATAAAAAAGTCTTTGAAAATATAGAGTAAATGGTCTCCGAATTATATCATTACAGGAATAATATGCTTACATGGTTAAAATATATAGATCTGTAAAAAAAAATGTCGAACTTATAGAAATAAAGGATAATCAAGCAAAGTATTTGAGAATAGGAACAATCCGTAAATATTTAGGTAACCTTTTAAGTTATGGGTTCAAAATATGGGAATTCTTTTTAACAATCAAAGAAAAATGTTTTAATTGTTTTCTTTAGCGAGTGTGTGATATTTTAATATTTCTAATCAAATAAGTGATGCGAAGTACTTTTAATTAGCTTCAAAGCTTATGTAATTCAGATTAAAGCGAATCTTACTACAATGTCTCTTGCATAGTAGCATAACTGAAAACACAAACTAGTTACATTTGTACATTATATGCCTAGCTTTAATAGTATGAAGCCATGTAAGGTGAAATTTTAATCTCCCGACAATCTATAAAGATATTGATTTTATCATTTTAGCAAAAATCAAATATTCAGTAAGATAGTAGAGGATTAATGTGCCAAATATTCCAATCTAGAATACTATGAATATAGGTCGCATAGTACTGAAGTCTACAGAAACACAAATATATTCTAATTGTGCTATACTAAACTTAGGAGTTGTAATGGACACTGTATTATTGCCATAGATTCTTCGTGCTATAGGCTTATTTCGCTTAGTAGTTACGCACAAAGTGATTTGTATAAATGATAGGTAAAGGTGAATAGATTATGAATTGCAGTATGTTGTAGAGTGTATATATAATGAGATGAATTCACACCTGTAGCTATTATACAGCTAATCTTATTTGATATTATTTGATTTACAAAAGATATCTAATTTATAATATTGCATTCAAACTCACATAGTATAATTTGTAGCATAAACGTTTAATAACTATTAAATTATTAAATTAATATTAAAAATATTAATTCTTTTAAACTAAAATAATATCTATTAATATCTATAATTAAATTAGCTATGAAACCATTGTAAATCATTGACTGTACTTCTACTTTGATATTTTCAAAGGAGAAGCAAACAGGGTCTGCTTACCTTAAAATGTGTTCACAGAAGTGATATCTATTACGAGGAAAAATTTTTAAAAAGTTTTTGATATCTTTAGACAATGTAAGCAATCATTTTTGTACTTCAATGCTGGCGAACTATGTGCAACAGCCTTCCAAGAAATATTATTAGGCTTACTTAAATTTAATTTATTAAAATTTTCAACTTATTGCCTACAAAATATTTTTCAATTAAATTTGCTAATATTACTCCGAGAAACTTATTTATCACATCCAACACCAATAAAAGTGACTACTAACAATAAATTTGTTGGCAATAATATTTGCTCAGGACAAAAGTCATACTTTGAACTAAACGTAACATTATCCAGTAAAGTTCTGAAGGCCTATTTGACTTTCCGCAGGAGAGTAAAGTAAGATGAAGCAAATTAGTTGGTTATTTGAAGCTAGTAACAAAAATTCAATTGCTTGGCAATTGAAGTTTCCTGGCAATGCAAAACACTTTGATAAAGTCAAGAAGAAGCAACGCTACAGCATTAAATCAAGAACACTACACAACACCACACCATCTCCACAAATCCAAGCACGATTTCACTTTTATGTATTTTCATATAAATTAAAATATATACAAAATCATAATGAGTAGAGGAATTTTGCGCCGCCACAATAAAGAAAACTCAACTGAATTTCAAGTGTTTCGCCACATAAAAAGTAGTCAAAATAACGCCTACTTTGTGAACTTGTGAACTTGTGGACGGAATGGCGGAGTTTCGATACTTCTTTCTTATTATGATTTCCTGTTTGTATGTTTGTGCGTTATTTGTTCTGTGATTATTATACTTTTTAATTTAAAAAAGAAATTGCTACCAGTTTGACGTACTGCCGCTAATTCCGGCTCATACATACAAATGCAGAATAAAAGATACAAAATCCTTGTTACTCGCACATTCAAAACTCATACTCATACTCATACTCAAACTCATACTCTTCAAATACTACACAAACAAACATAAAGCATAATAAATGAAAATATTGGCGAAGCAACACATAAACTCAGATGCTCTTTTGATATTTTGTTAATATTTTTCTTAGCTGTCATAATGAATTTATTTGGTATTCAGCTCACTTCAGTTTTATTACGAAATATTTTGTTCTTTGCAGATTTAGTCCAACACGCGCACCAGCACCCTGGGATGGCATACGCATATCTGATAAGTACAGTCCTGTGTGCCCGCAGCGTTTGCCAAACATACAAAACGAAACGGCTGCTTTGGAAAAGATGCCAAAAGGGCGCTTGGAATATTTAAAAAGACTTTTGCCATTTTTGGAGAATCAATCAGAAGACTGTTTGTACTTGAATATATTCTCGCCAATCAATGGTAAGTAGCAGGCTTCCGAATACATATAAGTAAAGCCAAGCTTTCATTATGCCAGCATGTACAGCAGTCAGCCATACATGAAATTAGCTCGCATTAAACATATTGAATATTATATTAAAATAAAAAAATTCATTCATTTTTTGTATTAAATTTCAATAATGCAATTATAAGTAATTTCATTTGCAATATTTAATTAATTCAATGAAAAAAGTTTAATTGGAATTTTCCGCATTAATAACAACATTTCATTATGAGCAGACGACAATAAATATGCCAACAAAACCTCCATTGAGTTTGGTATGCAAACAATAATTTAATATTAAAATTTTGTTAGTAATAGTGACTGTTAAGTACGCTATTTGCAAGAAAATAACAAATAAAACATGGAAGTCAAATTGGATTTGATTCCAATGCACCCATGAAATGAATTAGCAATTTCAACAGCTAGAAATTGTGTCTAGTACGGACCTCAATAAACATATTGATAACGTTCTCGTGAGTTAACATCCATCGTAAGGTTTTGTGGCATTTATATACTCTTAAAGAAATTTAAAATTGCTCCTATTATTAAGGCTCCTATATTATCCATTAGCAGTTAATAAGCGTCAGTTACATTTTACGATATTATAATTAAGATAGTTGGTAATGAATAACCCAAATTAATTTGTATATTATTTTGGACGTTTTGGGCTTTATTTGGATATTTGGTAAACATATAAAACTATATATAAATGCATACAAAATAAGTTCTTAGTAATAAATAGCAGAACAAAAAACTTGCCACTATTGACCCTTTCAAGTAATGTTAAAATATAATTTCAACAATTCAAAATCTTTAACGAATTGGAAACTTAACCTATTACCACATATTATAAAGCTGCGTTTAGCTTGCAACTAAAATCACATTAAATCATTTTAAGAAATATCTATTAAATAAATCACAAAGAATCGTTAATCAAGCAAAATAGATTTTATCATCTTCATAATAAACTCCATCGGGTTGACTCAGTCCACCACACATTTTTCATCGTCTAAGTTTGTTGTATGGCTGAGCACAGAAAACAATACTCACGGGCCAATTAAGGTGAGCACAAGGATTCGTCGATGCTTGCTTTGTGTCCAATTAGAATACACAAAAATATGAAAATAATTGAAAAACAATTAATGTCTATACATTGGGTGACATATCGGTTCTAACTATTGCATAGTGATACTATATAATGATGCCAATTACTCACACTTTTTTATACAAAATGTATATTTTGAGAATTCTGGCTTTGCTTAAGTCCTTCGGGATATCCTTTTCCATCAGAAAACTCTCCATAGCATCTCAGAGCAATATAATTTATTATAAACAAATAATCAAACGTTAAATTGATTAAAATGATAGGAAAAATAAACAGTGAATTATAAATCTCAACAGTTCTCCAAACCTAATTTGAAAATCAGAGTATTCAAATTTTTTTAAGCCGAAAATTTTTTGTTCTCTTAAGTACGTGTATTTTTAGAGCTATAATAAGCTTAAAGAATGTAAAATAATCAAAAAAAAATTGATATATTATTGTTTAACGTTTTACATATATAGTTTATAAATTCTACTAACATTCTCTTAGTCTTTTTATGTTAAAGCCATGGTTATGATTTAAAATTTTAGAATTTCATTATTTTTTATAAACAAACGTGTAAATTTAATATAAACAATTTATAGAGTACTACTACTATTGCTAAGTTATTTACTCGATGAAATTATATTAATCTTCAATTACTTACTACCAGTACTACGTATAGTGCAAATCATTCGTTATGGCACGCGTCATGCATCGTAAAACAACTTAATCGACTTATGTCTGTGAAATCCCTTTAAACTGACTCCCTAAAAAATACACACATTAGTACAAGCGTACAAGGGATCCACAACACAACAATAACAACACTGAGTGCGTGTTGTACGCAAAATAAATACAGCGACCATTTCTGCGGTCGTTTCCGGTCCCGTGAACTCATACTTGACCATACAAATTGTCAAAAAGGGCGCCAACGCTTATCGCTACGTTAAATCGTACGGAAGCAAAAACGGAAACAGCATTTGATGGCTCAGTGTCGCATGTCGCATATCGTATGTCCCTTATTGGTAAATACGAGGCCCGCTTGCATAAATAAGGATTTTGACATTTTCTGAAAATATCTTATTTTGATAAAAACAATTTTTTTTCACTTAAATACAAATTTCTATTTGAAATTACTCAAGCAATTTTGAACATTTAAAAAATATGGACTTTTAACAAACATAGAAACATAAAAATATTGATCTTAATTTTGACATTATTTATCAGTCGTGTATATCATAATTTGTATGTAATTAAAACCATAGAACCACAGAAGCATGTAATTAAATCAATTTACTTGTGTTAGAATAAATTTTACTACCGCAAGCCGCAACCCCGCTATATGACCCGTTCTATCAAGTACCAAAAGTTCCCATAATCAGATGCAGTAATGTACGTTAATCATGCCCGATGGTCAACCAAAATAACTTAATTCTAAAATTTCACATCAATGGCACATTAAAAACATTTAATTAAGGAATTATGTAAAAATTTAGTACAATGCACGCATGGATGCGCACTAATGCAATTACCATATAATGCAAAATTTAGAGAGCACTTTTTGACTATCGACTCAAATGTACAAATGTACAAATGTATCTGTGTAGGCGATGTAACTAACACTAACAACGCAACGCAACGTAAACATATTTCATTAGTTTAATGAAGTATACACAATGCATGTGTAAATATTTTATAGCGGCTTTCAAATGCCAATCAACCGAACATGAAAACCATTATTCAATTTGAGCTATTATGAAACCAACAGTAATAACTCTACTTTCCATAATATTTACATGATTTCCCGCGGGTGACCTCTGCAATTACAACTGTATTTACATAATTTTTACACGACAACAACAAATTAAATAATTTGAATGAAGAACACTAAGAAATTATTTGAAATATATATAACTTGATCAACACAGATATGAATAGTATTTCCAGTAATTAGCAATTAATTTATGTCATTATTTAAATTTTTTCGATATTTAATTTTTTATTAATTTATTAAGATTTAAAATAATATATTTTTATATAAATTAAAACTTTGAACAAATTTAATTAGTTTTTTTAATTTTTTGTAAATTGTTTTTTATTTTGTATTAAATTTTTGCAAAAAAAAAAGCGTATATCATAGTTGTTTTGGAGAAAAATAACAATACGGTTATAATGTAAAATTTAGCTTTATTTATTTATTAATTTAAGTTCATTTATTTGGTATACGATAAAAATAAAATAGTGTAATTTTGCGAGTAGATTAAAAATATGTCACGGCCTGCACAAACACTATCTGCGGACCGTACTCTGGCCAGCCCTGTTATAGAATATATTCACATAATTGAGCAGTCGCCATAAAGACCATATATTCGCCAAAGACAATTGCAACTACAATTACTTTAATTGAATTATGCTTTATTATGGAATAGCTTCATCTTTTCAGCTAATCGGATATTGTCCAAACACATTACGAACTTAATTTGTTAATTGGATTTAAAATGCAAATCATAATGGTTATAGTTTGAATAGTAGTATGTTGAGGCTAGTTGAGTTAGTGCACTTGAGCACTCTAACTCTATACTAACTGTGAGGTTTCTTCATAACCCCTGTGTACGCCTTGATTGGTTTATTGTTTATCACTTCATCTGACTAAGCAATAACTGTATACCTCTCCGAGGAGCCTGTAACCATTCAAAGATTTGATAATACCAACACTGGTTGGTAAGCCTGACCGTTTTCGTAAATAGTTTTAGACAATATAAATTTTCGATGGTATTATTATTACACTATGCGAATTCGCACTCAAGTAGTTTCGTCTTTCCAAATACACCATATAGGTGGTAAATAATTAATGATTTTAAAGATATCACACTTTTTTTATGCTTGCATTTAAAATTCATTTTTTATACCTGAAATACAAATTGATATCTGTGTTTTAATAAAATGTATCTACAGTCAATAGATTCAGATTTATACCATTTTAATTGTGTTATACCTGGTATGCCTGAAAAACCTAAAGTATTAATTATAGTAAAATTCACATCTTAGTTAATTATATAATAGATTATGTAATTAAAACTATATTTTATAATTCTACTTGCGTCATTTATATTTATCTTTTTACTATTTCGATTAGAGACCTATCTTTATGTATCTGTGAAACATATTATCTCATTACCATTTAAAAATTTGGTGCTTTGTGTAGAAGTTTTAGTAATGCATGTGCATACCATATTGGTTAGCATTAGTATAGACAATGTTTTAACAATTTTTTTTTCAAATCTATTATCTATATTTAAAAAAGAAATTCAAATTCGTAGTTCAAGTACTACAAGTTCTATAAGCAAAGTATTTATAATGTAAATGCTGAGATATTTTGAATTTTGTTAATGCATTGCATTATGTCACCTTTCTATGGAAGTAAATAATAGATTTGATATTATTATAATATATTATCTTCTAAGACAGCGGACACCTTTAATGCTAGTTAGTTTGACTAGGATTAATCACAGGTAAGAACCGACTTTCAATTCTTATTAAATCAAGAATCTTTTCATGTATTTTTAGTAAACGCAATATTCTCTTCAGATCTCTTTTTCGAATAATTAGTTATCCTTAAATGTTATTTTGAAATGTTAAAGGTTTTTATTTAGATGACTTCAGCTGGAAATGACTACGAGACTAAGTCAATAAGTTAATAAAATATAGTTATAAAAAAATTTTACAACAATGAAATTTTGTTTTATATGTTACTGATATGTTACTGAACATGGGAATTGTCGATTATGTTCCATAGTGATTCAACGTGACATCTATATTCATATATCATCAACATATAATTAATGTCAAACTATTTGTACAAAATTGCAGTAACTTTGAGCTTGGTACATCCAATTGACGATTGAATGTATCGAACTAGATACATCAAAAGTGAATATCTGATTGCCTTTTAATTCATTTACTCTATTGTACGTAGTCCGAAATGACAGTGTTTAGAGAAAAAGTAATAAAATTTCAAGTATTATTTACTTAAGATGCCATAGAGAAAGCTATATAATATAATGAAGTACACTTAAATAATTTATTAATTCTTATAATAATACTTGATCCTTGAATATTTTGTTTTTCTTTTCACATTTTCTCAATATGCGGTGTCATATAACAGTAGCTGTTTAAGTTTTCCATAAGAGATTAGTATTAATCCTTCTGAATTTTTCTATAGTAGAAAATGAAGTAGCGACCTGATAGATGTAACAAAGTTTATATATATCAAAGCATTTACTACAGTTCAGCTTTTAGACGTTTTCAATAAAACTTGGTAGTTGATGAGAGGAATCTCAAATAGTTGTTCAAATATTTTTCTTTTCTTTACAAGTAGTTTTAGTAGTTTTAAAATCTTTTATTTATCGATTTAAGTACATCGAAATTGAGCTACACCCATATCTTATTAATCGCAATCGTACTTGTCAATTATTTTTGCTACCAGAAAAAGGCAACTTATATCAAGTTTAATCTATAAGTCGAAATATTATGTTTTTAATAATATAATATAACATATATAAATGGTGGTTTGCATCTTTGCTTATCTTAAAATAAAATTTGCTTACTTAAAATAAATAATTAATAATTGCAATGAACGTGGGCTATTAAATGTGAATAAGAATATTACGAATAGCTGAATATTACATATTTTGGACTGTACAAAACGTATTTAAAACTCTACCTGAGTACTTTTAACAAGGCTATTAGGCTATTGAAAAATGTCATAGGTATAAGTTATATGCCTTCGAAATATTGCAAACATTTTAACACACTTATATTACTATAATACTATCTACAGTGTTGTTCTAATTAATAAGAATTACAAAATAAATAAATATTATAAAGCTTGTGAAATATCGGGATAAAACATTAAAGTCGAATTTCATTGATTGAATAATTATTTAGCATAACACCGACCCAAAATAGAGAGATTAACATTTTAAAGCAATTAATTTAAATATAGAAAACAGCACGTAGTTCAGATAATTTAAAGTAAAACAAAGACAGTGTAATTTCCCACGAAATGGAATAAAAATGCGCTCAAAACCTGTACAGCTTTAGTTAAGTGCTAAACAATATTTTTCTTATACTCTCAACCTATTTAACGTGCGACGCTAATCCCTAACGTTTTCTGCTCTACAATATCCTACCGTCCTACCGTTCACTTCTACAGATACCTTTGAAATTTCAAAAACAAAAAATAGAGTATTAAATGACGCTTAAGCGTTTCAACCGCACTTGCTCATGAATTTTTATTTCTAATTTTTGTACTCGTAACTATACGTATTTGTTTTAGAAACGAGTATATTCAGTCTTTCTTTGGTTTTTTACCCGGCTTATATTTACTATACGTATCTGTACTTTTATATTTACAGCAGGCGCTAGCGAAAAAAAATTACCCGTAATTGTGTTCATACACGGCGAGTCCTTCGAATGGAGCAGCGGTAATCCTTACGATGGCAGCGTGTTGGCCAGCTACGGTGAAGTGGTTGTGGTAACGCTTAATTACCGTTTAGGAATTCTAGGTAAGTTCGCACATAAATACCAGCTTAAGCGCCGTAATGAGCGCAGCTAAAACGAAAACAATAACAAGGAAGACTATATAAAACAATACATAGCGAACAGTAGAAATGGGTAAACCTAATAAATTATTATATACGATAAATGCAATAATTTATTCCAATTCCCATTTCCTTTCATTTCAACGTTACCAATAATTCAAGTCATTTTTCTTTTTCCAACTACACAATAGGATTCCTTAACGCAAATCCCAATCCGCAAACGAATGCACGTGTTGCGAATTATGGACTCATGGACCAAATAGCCGCCTTAGACTGGATACAGCAGAATATACAAAAATTCGGTGGCGATCCAAAGGCAGTGACATTAGCCGGACATGGCACAGGTGCAGCATGCATTAATTTTCTGATGACTTCGACAATGGTACGCAATCTGTTTCAGCGAGCCATTTTAATGTCCGGCTCATCGTTCTCATCGTGGGCGCTTGTGGAAGATCCAGTAATGTTTGCTGTTAAATTGGCAAAAGAAGTTAACTGCTCCATACCAGATGACATTAACAAAAATCATGAGCAAATTGTGGATTGTTTGCGTGAAGTAACGCTGGAGGATTTGTATGCAGCTGACATACAAGCGCCGAATTTTTTAACACCGTTTGGTCCATCGGTGAGTTATGCTATCAATCTGTAATGTTAAGCTATTTATATATATATACATTGATTTATTTCATTCTCCTTTTTAAATATTATAATTAAGTTTTGTTTGCTAATATATACTATAAATGTTCCTGATATTTTTTTAACAAATTTTGAAGTTTAAATATTAAAATTAAAAAAAGAATTTTCCAAAGTTATTTAGAATATTTACTGCCTCCATAAGACTTACTTATTTACGTAGAAAGTTTACATACATATATATATTATTATGTTACATATATACGAGTTTAAATAAAATTTCAATAGTAGAGCAATTTCTTTCATAACTTCATATTTTAATTACCGAAAGCTCTATAAAACAAAAGAAATAAATGATCTACTAAGAAAGGACTGAAGATAATAAAAATAATGTTGATGTCGGAGTATGTCAATTATATGTAATTACTTAATAATACTTAAATATTTCTGTATTTAATCTGTACAGCAGTACTACACATTATTTTATGTATAAGCTTATTAATGCCTTTTCCTGATGTTGAATGATACAGTAATAGACCCTATAAAATAGTACGACTACGTCCAGAAAGTACCGGGAATCACCGAGCAAGATATAATGTATGTATTATATATTAACAATTATTGTACCGCATCCAAAGTAAACCCTTTCCAAATACAACATATTTGTATAAAAGTAATTGAAGATGTTTTAAATACATTCTTTATAATCGAATGATACAGTAATAGACCCTATAAAATAGTACGACTACGTCCAGAAAGTACCGGGAATCACCGAGCAAGATATAATGTATGTATTATATATTAACAATTATTGTACCGCATCCAAAGTAAACCCTTTCCAAATACAACATATTTGTATAAAAGTAATTGAAGATGTTTTAAATACATTCTTTATAATCGACTTCAATATTCACCACGTATTCTCTTTTATGTCAGTTATCGACTGAAAACGAGTACATCGAAATGGCAGTTTTTGGGGAGTATAGTGGCTGTTCGATAAGGTTTATTGAATTTTTCGTCAGAAAATATTATACAATAATAGCCTTGACTTATTCTGTCATGCCTTTAGCGATTTGTAGGCGATTGAGTTTTTTCATCACTAGTCGAGCTATTATAAAAATCAGAAATCACTCTTAAGATGAACTGACAAAATGGCGCACTTTAAGCACTTTAAACACACTAAAATATAAGTGATGCTGAAATTTCGTGTAAGTAAAGGGAACAGTATTGCCAACTTAGTCACAAAAAAATTTCCCTTTAGATGAATTTTTTAAATGATTGATTCCCGTTGTTCTTCATCAATATTGCTATCAATAAATATTTAATAACTTCACTGGAACAATCTAGCAATTATACTAAATACCATACTTCATTATATCTCCTAATAACTGTTTTACTGCAGTAAGTCCTTTTCACACCAATCTTTACACTCTAACTTTTCAAAAATAGTTCACGTTCTAAGGGCTAATTAAGATTTTAAGTTTAATTTAAATTATTTTGTGAACATTGATAGCATGCTGCAATGCTGTTTCTTTTAATCTCAGATTCCACAAATACATATATGTGATCATAAGAAATCTCATATAAGAACATATATAAAAAACGGACTTCTTTAATTTTTATTTTTTTTGCCTAAAGTGACACGTCTTATGATGAAAAGAAACTATTTAAAATTTTGAAGGGTTCGAATAGAAATGAAAATAGAAAAAACAACAACAAAAAATTTAAATTAATTTATTGAAATTTGGCTGACTATACAATGATGTTTAGAGTATTGCCAAGTACTCATCATAAGTGGTCTTAGGAAGTATTCAAATTTTTTAATTACTTTATAGTCTGTATATAATTTGTTTGGACTGTAATTGATTTCTTTGATTTCCAAGAATCTAAGAATCCTTATTCCTTAGACTATTTCATTTCACTCACTATTCCAATCCATTCATTAATCAAAAGCACATGACTTAAGTGTTAGTTATTTATATAATAGTGTGTAGATTTTTCGCTTAATAATAAAGGCTATAAAGGCAAATGTATAGAGAGCCTTAAACAGAACAAAATCCTTAGAATATTATAAATGGGCTTACTCCATGTTATTATGTCGAAATGAACATGTACTGTTTTTAAATAAAAACATTTTAGTTAAAGATACTTACTTTACTTTAAACGGATTCATAAATAATTAAGCAAAATATTTATAATTTAATAATTATTAAATAAAACCTATTTCGTTTTTAACCAGAAAACATCGTTCGGTATAGTTTTTCAAAATGTTAGCACAAATCTTTTAAAGCTTTAGTAAGAGATTTTTGTAGAATGAATTAAATAGTTACTATATAATAATAATTAGAAGTTACTGATGGGCGGTGAAGTCAAAGTTTGATGGGCGGTGAACTCACGAAACAGAAAGGAAAGTCAGTATACTCGTATACTTCAAAAATTAGAATATTGCTAAAAAAATTTTATTGATACTGTTGAGACATTGTTTAAGAAAAAGATATGTATGATTATATTAAGTAATTGTTTTAAAATACATAAACACAAACATACTCCTGTATCAAAAGTTTTAGGAACAATTCATTCAATCCTTGCCTTACCAAAAAAAAAAGACTGAAATTAATGATGTTTACTTTTTATCTATATTAAAATGTTCTCAATATTTTATATAGAATATTTTCAAAGAACAAACGAAACATAAAATACAAACAAAACACAAATTAAAAAGAAAATACATCTTATAAAATTGTTGAAGGGTTTACTTGGGCGCACTTTACTGGCGGAATACATCCGTTCATCCGTACATCGATAGAGTATAGAGTATGGAGAGTATAGAGTGTGGAAGGGCAAAACCAAAGTGACTCAATTGTTGATGACAGTTTAAAATTGACTTTTCTTCATTATAAACAGTACCAGCACAGAAAAGGAAAAGAAAAGTATTCAAAAGGAGCAAATAAGATGTATATAGGGTAAAGAAAGAAAAATTTTGCCAAAGGGCATTATAAAAGAGAACAATATTATTGCATATGCTGTAGATTCTCGAATGCTGTAAGAAAAACTTAGGCTCAATGGTATGTCTAAGAGGAAAATTGTGTCACACACTTGACAGTGATGAAAATGAACTTTGCATTGTGTTTCATTGTTGGCTTCTTCTTTTTTATTATTAGTATGAAAATATAAAACATAAAACATAAAACATAACAACATAAAAAATGTTAAATGAAAAATGGAAAGTGAAGAACAAAAATAAAAGAATACAATATGAAAGTTATTGCTAAAGAATACTCATGATGTCCTTATATTCGTAGTACTAGAAGCGAGCAGCAGGATGCTACTATGCGTTATTTTATGCCATTTTTCATTGCTATATTGTGTTTTGTGTCGCAAAAATAATTTTTAGCAATTTTTTTATACTAGTTTTTTTTTTTGAAGTATATTTTTTTTTTGTTTTTCTTTTTGCAATATTTTTCTTAGTCAGTTTTTATCTTCGAGATCTGCTTGACTTTATTACTCATCATTTTTTTTCATACTTTTTTTAGCATACAATTTCCCTACACACTTTTTACTTTGTCAGTTTGCCACTTAGGCAACGGCAACTTGCCTATGCGTCTACAGCAATATTAACGCATTTTCATTTTCTTTTCAATTTAGGTTGATGGCGTCGTTATCCGACCCGGACATTCCAATCTCGATATCGATGATTTAATGACGCGCAACTCGAAGCGTTCCTCAGCAGATGGTTCGAGTGGCAGAAATAGTGGAAGCGGGAGTGGTGGTGGCGGTTCAAGTGGCAGCAGTTATTTTAGCGGTGGCGGAGGACATGGAGATGGCAATGGACAAGGCAACAATGCTCCACTTTATGATGTGCTTTTTGGTGTTGTTACGGGCGAATCAATTTGGCGATTTAGCGCGCACGACATACAAAACGGCTTCGAAGGGGACAGACGGGATAAAATAATTCGTACTTATGTGCGAAATGCCTACAATTATCATCTCAATGAGATTTTCTATACGGTGAGTGTGGATTGTAGATTTGCATAAGTTTTGGTATGTGCTAGTATATCCAAGTACTATTCCAATGTTTTTGTTATTAGGATGGATTTTAGAAGCAGTGTTATGGCTCATTGTTTTGTGTTCAGTTAGTCTTCTGTGTGATTTTATTTCATTGAATTATTTTTCTATTTTCTTTGAATTTGTTAAGTTTTTTGTTAGAAACGTAAAGAAATGAATTAAGTAAATTGCTTAGGCATAAAGTGATTGATTTTGGATGTTGTTTGCTGCTTTAATGTAATTGAAATATCAGAAATTAGCTAAATGTACAGCTATTAATAGAAATTTTCATTTTAAAACTTAATTACGTACAACAGCTTCATTAAGTACTAAAAATGATTGCTTTGAAAGTGGATAACTAATTAAGGAAGCTATAGTTTTCCAAAGATATAACGAACGAATTTCTTGTATATTAGTTCTTTTCTTAAATTCTCGTAGGCATTTTACATATTATATTAAATACATTATGTAACAATATAAAGAAAATGAAATATTTTCAATTATTTTCATTGATACCATCCTAACGAACGATAATTATATTGATTCTTGCTATTATTAATTTTATTTACGAAACATTAATATAACCATTAAATCCAATATTTTTTTTTTCTCAAAAAAAGTGCTTCTCTTTCCACTGATTTAATGAAATCAAATAAAAATAAGATATCACATTTACAAGTAACACACCACCAGAGTAAATCGATAGTTGTTCCATTCTAATATCTTAAAAATTAAATAGACCTATTGGAATAGGTAGAGAGCATTGGGACCTTTAAGCCAAACTTAAACATATCGAGACACAGAATGAAATTTAATTACAATTTTGATATTCTTCAACAGGAAATCTATTTCAAATATGAAAAAAGTAATAATTATGAAATATCCAAATTTAGTCATTCAATTTTAGCAGAGGTTTTTTGTATATAGCAAAATAAGGTAAGGTTTCTAGGAAACCTTATAATTTTTAGACAGCAACTCTCAGTAATCGAAATCAAAGTCAAATTTGAACCGTCAACTAACACTTTAACATCAAAAACCAATGTACACTTACTTTCCGCTGCTCAGTTTGTCGATTTTGTGGTTCATTCATTCATAAACGACTATTGCACTTATTGTTGTATATTTAAAACTAACACGTAAACCACAGCTATATAAATTAACTTCACTATTATAAATTGCTGGAATTTTTTACATTCCTACAGAACTTTATCTATGAATATGAAAACGGAAGGAAAATGGTGTAAAGAATAGAATAAATGATAAGCCGACATTGCAATATTTTGCCAGTAAAATGGTTAAATTAAAAATACTTAAGCAATACTTTTTAATTTTTGCTAAATTACTGAAAATGTGTGTAGCGAATTGGTATCATCATAAGACAACCTCGTTTTACGCATTATTCCAATTTAAACACTTTATAATAACTTATAACTTATTATAACTTATCATTTAAAAAGAAATAAAATAACTATTATTTATTATTTATATTTAAAAACAATTTTTATTTTGTGGTGAGAATCAACAAAGTAGGCTAAAATTGTCAGATTCTCTGATATTTAAAAATATTTTATTTAAAAATATTTATTCAGATTTTTTCAGTCAGTTGGTCAGTCAGTCAATTAGTTAGTGTTTCTAAAGTTGTATTAAAAAATAATAAAAGTTTGTGTTGCAATAAATACTGTTTTTTATTAATAAAAGCTATTTGGTTATTGTAATCACAACATTGGTGACCCCGACACAAAAAGGAGTTGTAAGTTATTATCAAGCCCAACATTAGCAAGCAAGATGACTAACCGTGAGGAAGAAGATTTTTTTCCGGCAGAAGGAGAAAGTCGCACTGACAAGGAGGTATACCGGGTTTCAGTTAAGCCGATGATGTTTTCAAGAGAGCATCCGGACCTTTTTTTTCTGCAAATGGAAGCACAGTTCAGGAATGCGGGAATAACGAAAGATGATACAATGTTCGACCATGTAGTAGCAAGTTTAGAGCCGAAATACCTGGAGTGCATAGTTGATGTGATTCGAGATCCACCGAAGGTATTGAAATATGAGACGTTGAAGAAACGGTTAATTTATGAATTCACAGAATCGGAGCACAAAAGGCTGCGTAAGTTGCTGACAGAATTGGAGCTAGGTGACATGAAACCAACTCAATTGCTGAAGAAAATGAAGGAGATGGCCGGCAATTCAATGAATGATGATGTACTAAAGTCATTGTGGTTACAGCGACTGCCAGTGGGAGTTAGAACAATCGTAGCTACAGTGGAAGGTGATTCTGCACAGTGGGCCAAAGTGGCTGATAAGGTATTTGAGGTACAGGAAACAGAAACGGTTTGTGTAGTACAAAGGAATGAACCGAAGGAGATGAGGAAGGAAATTGACGAGTTGAAAGTCATGATAAATAATTTGGTCATTCAGTTGGGCAAAAGAGGAAGAAGCAATGACAGAGATCGTGGAAAAGGGCGGTCATCAAGTGCTAGAAGAGGTAATATCTGTTTTTATCATCGGCGGTTCAAGGAGAGGTCCACAAAATGTGTTCAGCCTTGCCAGTACAAACCACCGCAAAACTCAGCGGAAAACTAAACACCACTTCACGTCTGACGGCGAGTGAAGTGGCAGAGGGTAAAGCATGCCGTTTGTTCTTCAAAGATAAAAAAACAGGTATAAATTATCTAATAGACACAGGCGCGGAAGTTTCAATTTTGCCAAAGAGAATGTAGCCTGAAAATGAAGCCACGCAATATTATTTATACGCAGCAAACGGAGCGAAAATTAGCACGTATGGAACGAAATTAGTGCAAGTCAATTTGGGGTTGCGCAGACAGTTCCTGTGGGAGTTCCTAGTGGCGAAGGTAAATCACCCAATAATAGGGGCGGATTTTTTGAATAATTTTGGTTTGATAGTTGACCTGAAGAACAGGAGAATTTTAGATGGCATTACGGGCCTCCAGGTAATGGGTTCGAAGAGAGAGATGCACTGCGTGAAGCTAAGCACAATTGATGCGACTAGCCCGGTACATAACATTCTGCGGGATTATAAAGAGATAACGGAACCGGCTACTAGTAATAAGGTGGCCATGAAGGTTACGCTAGTAGAGCATCAAATTGTTACCAAGGGACAGCCAGTGTATGCAAAACCTCGGCGGTTAAATCCTGAAAAATTTGAAATTGCGAGAAAGGAATTTGAATTTATGACGAAACAAGGTATTTGTAGACCAAGTAACAGCAATTGGGCAAGTCCGTTGCATTTAGTGGCGAAAAAGGATGGTAAGTGGAGACCGTGTGGTGACTATAGGAAGCTTAATTCAATAACACTACCAGACCGGTATCCAATACCCCATATACATGATTTTACTCGCATATTGTACAATAAGAAAATTTTCTCAACCATTGATTTGGAAAAGGCCTACAATCAGATTCCGATTGCTGAGGAGGATCGACCTAAAACGGCGATAATAACCCCGTTCGGCTTATATGAGTTTAACATGATGACTTTTGGTTTATGCAATGCTGCGCAAACTTTCCAAAGGTTTATGAATGATGTCCTAAAGAATCTGAGTTATGTGGTAACGTACATAGATGATATATGTATAGCATCAGCTGATGAAAAGGAACACGAAATACATTTAAGAGAAGTGTTTAAACGATTAAGTGATCATGGTCTGAGAATCAATCTGGGAAAGTGTGTGTTTTTTATGAAAGAAGTTACCTTCCTGGGTCATGTGATAAATGGGGATGGAATTAGACCTATAGCTGAAAAGGTAGAAGTGATAAGAAATTTTAAAAAACCGAAGGAAGTACGAGAGTTAAGAAGGTTCATTGCTTCAATTAATTTTTACAGGCGTTTCCTCCCGAATGCCGCAAAGAATCATGGCATCCTGCACGCGCTATTAAAAGGAAATAAGAAAAATGATAGATCTCTGATTGATTGGACAGCAGAGGCCGAGAAAACATTTGAAGTGTGTAAGAATAATCTGGCGAATGCTGCAATGCTAGCACACCCGGCTCCGAATGCGAAACTGGTGCTAAATGTGGATGCTAGCAATTTTGCAGTAGGAGCAGTGTTGCAACAGCTTATAGATGGACAGATGCAACCGCTGGGATTTTATTCCAAAAGGCTGACAGAGACTCAAAAAAGATATAGTACTTATGACCGCGAGCTACTTGCTATATATATGGCGGTCAAGTATTTCAGGTACATGATTGAGGGCAGGAATTGCACTGTGCTAACGGATCATAAACCGATTACATTTGCTTTCTTACAAAGATCTGAAAAAGCATCAGAACGCCAGTTACGCCATTTAGATTTTATCGGGCAGTTGACAACAGATATTCAGCATATAGCAGGCAGCAAAAATACGGTCGCAGATGCTTTATCTCGAGTCGAAAGTGTAGTGGCTGGAGTTAGACGATCACTAGACTATGATAAGTTGGCAGAAGCTCAGAAAGTTGACCAAGAGATGAACGAGTTGATAAGAAACTGTACAGCGTCATCTCTGGAGCTCAAGTTGGTAGAGTTAATTACAGAGGGTGTTTCTGTGTATTGTGATGTATCCGGAAAGAAACTGAGACCGTTTATTACAAAGTCCTTCCGAGCGCAAGTGTTCGAAATGTTACACAATTTAGCTCATCCTGGTAGAAAAGCAACTATAAAACTAATAAGTTCTCGTTTTTGTTGGCCTAAAATGAAGACTGAAATAAGTCAAATGGTGAAAACATGCATGGCATGCCAAAAGTCAAAAATCCAGCGGCACAACAGGACTGTGTTGCAGGATTTCAACGCTCCTGATCAACGTTTTGAGCATGTTCATATTGATATCGTGGGACCTTTGCCTTATAGTAATGGTATGCGGTATTGCCTGACATGCATTGACCGGTTTTCAAGGTGGCCGGTGGTGGTACCATTGGCGGAGATTACGGCAGAATGTGTGGCTGAGGCTTTAATTAAGGATTGGATAGCGCAT